GCTCCTTCATGTCTTCTTGTGGCTCGATAGCCCATTCTCTTTAGTGCTGAGTAACCTTCCATCATCCGATGGACCAGTTTGTGCACTACTCTGGAGGGCATCTTGTTGGCGCCCAAGTTTTGACAACTGTAATAAGTCACAAATAACAAAGCCACCACAAGTGCTGGCTGGCTCCTCATGTCACAGGCACAAGACGCCCTACGAAGAGAAGGGCCCAGATGCTCAAGTGAGTCAGGCCTGGTGCCTCCTTTCCTGGGCAAAAGTGGGAGTCTTCCACTGTAGAAAGAAAAACTGTGTTTTTTGGTGGGGAGACTGGAGCTGCAGGGGTTGGGGAGGGGGGGAAGAGCAGGTGGGGTACTGGGCACCATAGAACAGCCTGGGGAGCATCAGGGACGGGTGAAAGGCGGGGTGGGCCGAGGGAACGAGGATTAAGCTCAGGGCTCAGAGGAGCTGGGAAATGCGCCACCGGGTCAGGGTCGAATGCCTGAAACCACCAGAAGCCGCCATTAACCAGAGTGTCGGAAAGGGCTGGGAGGGCACAGACTCTAAATTCCCTCTGTGCCTAGCTGTGCCCATGTGGTGTCCTAACGTGACAGGGCACCTAATACCAGCTTCCAATGTCAGCCTTAAACACTGGGGGGACAACAGTGAATCAGGACTGCAATACCATCCGTGACTCAAAGGCTGGCTGATGTCCAGCGCCTCCAGCCGGGTCCAGGCACTGCTGTGAGCCACACCAGCCTCCTCTCCCCTTCCTGTTGAAGCTGTGTCCACATGTCCCCTGCCTCTTTCTAAGTTTCTGCTTATGGCCGCTGACTTCCCATCCCCTTCTGGTCCCCACCGCCATCCTTGCATGGCAGTGTGTTTTTTTTCCTGGGGTCCCATTGCAACCATTTCACAGGCTCAAAGTGCGCTTGCCGTTCTTGTAATGAACAGGATTCCTCCTCAGCATCCCATAATTTGCTAGTGTTGGGCCCTTGGGGCGGCTCCAGTTTTCCGCTACTATAAATAGCATGCTGTTCTTTCCTCACTGTGCTTTCCTCTCTCTCGTGGACTCGTCATCCCTGGGCTGTTTCTGGAATATAATTCCTGGGTCAGGACACCCACCAGGCGGGTGACTGAGGACGGAGCTGTTCCGCAGGAAATGTGCTCTTGCCATGTTCCCTTTATGGTGACCTAGGAAGCCGGCCAAGGACCAGGACGTGAGCTCTGCCTGGATAGCCCGTGGGGACCCAAGGGGCTCAGAAACTGGAATCACAGAGGGACATTGGGCCATGATAGGGACCCTGGTGCAAGGGAGGTGCCAGTCAAGCCCTGGCTTTGGCTCTGAGCAGTTGGATCCTGGCAGAGCGGGCTCCATGCTAACTGAGGCTAGACTGCTCATGTACCCAGCCTGTTCCTGTAGGGGAACCGTTATGGAGGTTGCACCTCAGGTCACACCAGGCCTGGCCTAGGAGTGACTGGCAGACTCTGTAACTCATTCAGACTGTGAGTGTGCGCGGGTTGGTGTGGGCAACACATGCCTTACCTCTCCTGTGTCCTGGCTAGGTGGAACTGAGCTCAGGAGGAGGAGTCGGGGAGCTGATAGGAGTGCAGCTGGCCTCAGGACTTTTGGTGTCACTAAAGTGGCCATATTTAGCAAATAAAAACACAGCTGTCCAGTGAGATTTAAGTTTCACATAAACACAAATAATTTTTTAGTATATGTATCCTCTGCAATATTTACACTACAGATTATTTGTTGTTTATCAGAAATTCCAGTTTCACCAGATATCCTGTATTTTATTTGCTGCCTTAGCAGGAGTGTCATCTTCCTACATCAGCTTACAGGTAGCCTGGGTAGTTTCCGGCTAATGAGCCAGGGCCTGCCCCTCCCCGGGAGAGGGCCAGCCTCTTTCTCCAGGTGGAGAATCCCCAGGCAGGCTCTGATTGGCTGGCCAGAGCCATGTGTTCATCTCTGGGGCCAATCACATCCCAGGGGCCTGCCGTCTGAAGGCGGAGTCACACCCTCTGGCTTCAAGTGGAAAATTTCTAGGGAGCCTCTGATTGACCGTGTGCTGCTACCTCTGTGGGATGGCACTGGGGTGTCCTTGATTGGCCGCCTCACAGTTCTTGATTAGAGACACGTGCTGGGGGAGGGGGTTGGAGTGCTGGGTAGACAAAGCCACAAGTGACCCCATCATCCTGCCTCCCCAACTGAGTCTTTGAGGACCTGGGGGAGGGGGGTGTCCCCTGGCCTGGGAGTTCCATGAGGGCACAGAATGTCAGGTAAGTGAAGGACCTCCTCATCCTGGAGCCCTCCACAACCCTCTGACTGGCTGCACCCCTTGTGGGCCCATAGTGTAGATACCCACCCCCTGGACTCCCCCTGGCCCAGGGCGCTATCACATGCCCCCAAAACTATTTATGCTAATTCAATGAAGGAAGCTGAGTGCAATCTGGATTCAGAATGTTCTGGAAGAACCCGTGGCCTTGGGAAGTTCACATCCCTCTCTGGAGCTGGATTTTTCTTTTCAGATGGGCTAGAGCAGAGAAGTAATCCTGGACCAGGGCCCTGGGGAGACCCCACCATTCTCTCCAAGCCACAGGGGCACAGCTTCCTTCCAGAGGCTTCCACAGCAAAGTCCTTATAAGAGTATTCATGCCGCTGCTTTTATGCTGGGGAGAGAGGCCCTGTGCTTGTTTTTTCCCCCAACTATTTTGATTTTTTATATTTTGCATCCTGTGCAAAAACTGATAGGCACGGCCACCTGGGATCTCTGCCAGTCTCAACGTGTCTCTCTCTCCCCTTCTTCCTTGTGTGCTGGTTCTCTAGAGCTGGGCATCGTGATGCTGGCAGGACCTGTGAGGGGCAGGGATGGGACGCAGTGGTGGGAAGTCACAGCTGGCTCCTCCCCTTGGCACAGTGGGGTCAAAGGAGCAGGACACTGAGGTGGCTCCAGCTAGTGGAGGCTGGAGCACATGTAGGCTGGTTCCTCCCAGCTCTGGGTTAGGATCTCTGAGAGGGAGGATGTGGCAGCCTGGGGAGTTGCACCCAGTGGCCTTACTGAGGGCAGGACCTGCATGGGCTGGGGCAGGGGAGGAAGGGGAAGGCTGCCAACCTCTGGACTTCCTCCCCAGACTCACCGTCCAGCTGGGACAAGTGAGAACAGTGATCGTAGCCAGTAGGCCTCTCCCCAGAGACCTCCCTGATGGAGTCCCGCATGGGTCACATTGCTAGTGGGGCTGCGGCCTGTTTTAGGGGTAGGAACTCCTGGGACCCTTGCTGAGTGGGCCTGTGTGTCAGGGTGGGGCATGCCACCCCCATTCTACAGAGGGGCTAGAGTGTCCACGTTTTCATACCCCCAACCTGGTCCTGTCAAATTCCAGTGCAGGTCCTTCATGCCCCCACTTACCTCAGGCTAACCCTTTCAGCTACCCATTGGCATTTCCCAAAGCATTCCCCAAAGGGGAATCCTTGCCCATGCTGTGCTCTCAGGCCAGACAGGGTTGGCTGATGCCAGGAGCCCCCTTGGCCCATGGGAACTATAGGAAGGGTGGCCTCCCGACCTGCCTCGGAGGGGTTGGGCCATGAGGGCCTGGCTAAGGCGGGGGCCAGTCCATGGTGCTGGTTGGAGGCCCTGGCCTTGGCCTTTATCCCTCTGAGAAGTCCTCTCTCCCCGGCAGGCTGCACGTTTCCCTCATGGGTCTGGCCCTGCAGAGACTAACACCATCTTGCTCTGCATTTGGTCTCATCCTGTACTTTGTAGAATAGGGGGTGGGAGGCCTCCAAGTAGGGTCGTGGGTCATCAGAACCTGAGTCCTTGGGAAATGCAGGTTCCTGGGCCCCAGGCATGGGTGTCAGAACCTTGGGTGGTTAGCAGTCTGGGCTCCCCAGGCCTCTGGGGACTCTGGGATCACATGAGGCCACCTATCCTTTCCCATCCCGTCCCAAGCCTTGCACATGTATTAATCAATACCTTCATCTTCATTTTAACCCCCTCGGTGGGTTCTCCCATATATGTGGGAAACAGGCACAGAGTTAAGTGACTCCCAGGTGACCCAGCTGGGAGTCAGAGGAGGGGATCATACCTGGACAGTGGAGCCCCTGGCTCTGGACCGCTGGGACCCTCCTCTCCCCTCCCCTTCCCTCACCCCTCTCCTCCTTTCCCTGCCCACCCATCACCTACCCGCTTCTGACCACTTGCTCTGTTGCAGAGTGCTGTGCTCCACTACCCGTGGTGGAGTACCTTCCCACCCACGCCGTATCCAGCCTTCTCCAGCGAAAGCCAGTAAGTGCCTCAGCCTGGGTTCTGAGCCAGCCCCACCACGTCCTGTGGCCACACCACCTCGGGGACTTCATTCCACTTCCAGTTCTGCAGTCATGGGTTCAACAAAACTAGAGCTCGCAACTGGGGTGGCTTCAGCATCGTGCTGAGGGGGCTATGGGCTTAGCCCTGGCCGCTCAGAGGCAGCTGAGACTGACCAGCTGTGATCCGTCTTAGTGAAAAACTGGCTGGATAAAGGACAGAGATAGTGAGGACAACGGGCCAGGTAGGGCTGACACTGGGTGAGGGAGTCCAGAAACTCTGGGGGATGAAAGGAGCCAGGAGGATACCTTCCTACAGAGGGATCTGGGTTTTGTAGGGTAAATAGGAGTTTGCAGGGAAGCAGGCTTGGAACCAGACAAAGGAATGGCCCATGTACAGGGCCTGGAAACACGTGTAGCCGCAGTCTCTTTTTTCCGTGGCACCATATCCTGAGATGTGGGCCTATGGTTCCCTCCTCCGAGCTGAGTTTCCGAGAGGTCAGAGTTCCTTCTGTGGGTGGTGACCTGCACGTGGGGTAGGAGAGCAGTGCCTCTGCCACACCCGACAACTCACCTTCTTCCCTGTGTCCCTCCAGCCAGTTTATGAACTCCACCTCCTTCCTCCTGGACCAGCCCTGTACAGACACCAGCTATGGCCACACGGCTGCCACCCCCAGCTTCCTGCCAAAGAGCGACTTTCCTCAGGTAGGAGACTTCAGCCCCTGGGGCCCAGTATCTGCACGCACATAGGACCCTGCTTTGTCCCAGGGTGGCACTGAGAACCTCGGCTGACCCACAGACCACGTGAAGACATGGCTTGTTCTGGGGAACCGTGGTTCTCCTCAGCTCGCCAGCCTGAATCTTGGCCCTGCCAATCCAATTTGTGGGAGGCGACTTCACTGCAGTGGAGAGTTGGGTTGGAGGTCATGTAAGGAAGGATGGGGGCTGTCCCCATGTCCCCATCATTCCGTCTCACACCATTGTGTGGTTGCGGGGGCGGCCTCTCAGAGCACCTGTTTCACTTTCCTCAACCTCAGCATCTCTCTCCTGGAGGAGGCCCCAAGCTCATTCGGTTGGGCATCCTAGTATCTCTGGGAGTGTACCTGGTGTCCATGCCCCCACGTCAGAGCAATGCCCATCAGAGAGTGTCTGTGTCCCCAAACCCAGCAGCCATTTGAAAACGTGACCCACACTAGTTGAAGGAAGAGAGAATGTGTGATCCATTCTCGGGGGACACGGAGCGGCTTAGCCCGCTGTAATCAGGTGGTGCCTGCCCTTGTGGCCTCACCCTCTGGGTTTTGGCATTGTGCCCGGGTTTCCTCATGGCAGTCCTTGAAAACAGAATGCTGGCGCCTTCGCTTTAACACAATTGCTGGGGGTCCTGGAACCTCGGTGCTGTTGCCCTTGGAAATTCCAAATACCTCCAGCCAAGCGGGTTCTCTGTGGCGGGGTGCCTCAGTACACAGTTTGGGAACTGTCCAGGTGGGACAGCTCTGAGCCCCATCAGGGAGTGAGGGGGTAGCAGGTGTTCAGCTTCCCTGTCTTGGTGTCCCCCTGTGAAGTGGGGGCATTGGGGCCTACCAGGTGAAAGGCTATGCAAGAACGTGGCACAAAACAGCCAGTTTAAACCCACTGAACTTGCCTGCAACCCAGACAGGCTCACACCCGCCGGAGCCCAGCCATTCTCCACACTGCAGGCTACAGCGGGACTGGGGCAAAGAGCTAGCTAGACCAAGGGGTGTGTTCTGGGGTCACCAGTGTCCCCCAAAATCCACATCCACCTGGATCTTCAGAACGGAGCCTCTTTGGAACTAGGCTCTTTGCTGAAGCGGCTAAACATGGAGGTGAGAAGGCCCTGGTTATCCCGGCCAGCCCTAAACTCAATGAGTCCCTAGAGCGACAGAAGAGGAGACACAGACATAGGACAAGGCATGTTACCACAGAGGCAGAGACTGGGCCCTGTTGCCACAGCCAAGGATGCCTAGAACTGGGAGAGGCGGGAAGGACTCTCCCCTGGATCCTTGGGGAGTGAACGGGTAACACAGTACTCGGGGACATCTGCCCTCCAGGGCCGTGGGAGCACTCATGTCTGTTGTTTAAGCCACCCCCCAGTGACCCTTTGTGACCACCTAGGAAACAGTGGGGCTGGGTCTCACAGAGATAGGAGTGCAGGGTTCACCTGCCTCTTGAGAGCCCCACAGAAGCTGTCTGGGCCCCGAGTTTACCAGAGTGAGGGCAGCAGTGTGACAGAGATAATAGGCCCCCGTGGACATGGCCCACCAGCCTTTCCAGACACATTTGCAGTTTCTTCCTCCAGCTCACAAGGACACCCTGGGGCTCTGGTTTGGCAGTTGTTGTTGCCTAGCCCAGGGAGGTGCAGGTGTCCAGAGAAGGCCCCATGGCCTCCCAGGGTGCCCTGGCTGTGGGCCCGAGACCCTCTCCTGTTTGCCTCTCCCCTCTCTGGGTGTTGGTTCATCCCACAGGGCTGGTGGCACCACAATTGGCTCAGCTCTTTGAAGCTTTGATTAACTTTCCATACATTCTGGACATGACTTCACGTGCATACTTGTTATCTCTTGACACTGTTTCCCCAACTGAGGCATCACCTGCCATGCGGATGGGGAAACTGAGGCACAGGCCTGCAGAGTCCAGGGCCCGCAGAAGCCTCCGGACCCCTGCAGCCGCCCTCCAGGGGTCGCTGTCTCTCACTGATGCTTTCGGCTCCCACCTCCTCCCTGACTCTGCTAAGAATCACATGGTTTCTCCGCCAAGAGCCCCTCAGGCCCCTCTCACAGCACCCATAGTCCACATGTCTGCCCACAGTTGTTTGAGCGTCTGCTGGACGCACAGTGGCCCACCCCCCAGCCCCTTGCTGTGGCATCTTGGACCTCGATTTCCCTTTTAAAGCAGCGGGACCTTCCAACAAAATCTCACCCTGGTGCTGAGCGTGGGATCCAACAGACGTGAGAGGAGTTCACTCAAGGGTGGGCGCCCTGAGGCCCTGTCGGTCAGGCTCCTGTACCTCCCCTGTGACCGCTGGGCCTGTGGGCTGAGCCAGGAAAGAGTCCAGACCAAGCCTAGCATTCAATGCTCTTCACAGCCCAGTCCTGGCCCACCAAGCTGACTACAGGCACCCTCTGCTCCTGACTCAGATTAAGTGCTTCACCATGGTGCCTGTCTCGGGCAGCCCTAAAGATGTGCCTATTCTGGTCCCAGGACCTGCAGACATGTCTGCCTCACATGGCAGAGAGACTTTGCAGATGGGATTAAGTCAAGGCCCCAGAGATAACGATGACCTTGGATTTCCTGGGTGCCCCAGGAGCCTCCCCTCTGAGGTACCCTTTGCTCTGTCCTGGCCCCTGGAAGAGGCGTAGGGCTGAGGGCTTTTCTGTGTCAGTCCCTGGCCAGGCCAAGTGCTCTCCAGACCCTTCTGGCACCCGGCTCATAAAAACCTGTTCATACAGTTTGTTTCAGGGCCCTGGACATGGGAGCTAAAAAAGCCCCAAAGAAAGGATGTTCACTTTTCACTGAGCGAGTGGGTTAGAACTAGAACACAGCCCCAGTGATGCCCTCATCCCAGTCCCAGGATCTGTGGACATGTCACCTCTCGTGGCAGAGGGACTTTGCAGGTAGATTAAGTCAAGGTCCCTGAGATGGGGATGACCCTGGATTACAGGGGGCCCAGTGTCATCACAGGGTCCTCATAAGAGGGAGGCAGGAGGCTCAGAGTCAGAGAGATGGAAGAGGCTGCACTGCTGGCTGTGACGATGGAGGAGGGGCCATGAGCCAGGGACATGGCACCTCTAGAAGCTGGAAAAGGCTGGAAACCGTTCTTCCTGGGGCTTCCGGAAGGACTGGCCCTGCCCACACCTGGTTTTAGCCTCAAGAGGCCTGTGTCGGACTCCTGACCTCCAGAATCATAAGGTAATAAATGTGTGTTATTTTAAGCCAGGAAGTTCGCAGTAATTTATTGCAGCAGTGAGAGCAACACTCTAGAAGTGTCCCCTACTGTTGTATGAATTAGAAGGAATTGTAATAGAGAATGCAGAGTTGGCCTGGGGACAAGGAGTGAATATAAATCCGCAGGGCTTGACATATCGTCTCATAACTAAACTTGAGCCCCAAGTTTCCTGGCAGCCAAAGCAAAAAGAGAAAGGAGATGAGCTGTGTGACTCCTGTTACCTGCAAGGAGACTACTTCTCCCGATTTCCCTTTGGGGCATGGAGCAGTTCCAAGGGGTCAGCATCCTGCCCCTACCTCCCCAGGGACTATGTGGGGACCTGTGTTCCCTGGCCTGTGGTTGGTCTTGGCCCTGTCTTTGCTGTCTGAGATCTTTGCTTTTTCCCTTGTCCCCTGGGCCGAATCATGGAACTCCAGGGGTACTGGGTCCCTCCCTTGAGTCTGCACATGAGCTGTCCCAGGCCCAGGACCATTGGAGGCATTGGCCATGCTTCCATATGGGGCCCCCAGTTCATAGATCCCGGGATGCCTGTAGCCTACAGGGACTCTGCTCCCCAGAGGCAGCTGTGCTGGGTGTGGCCCCCATCATCCTGCCCTGCCCAGAGCCTGGGACCTGGGTTCTACTGTGGGGGGGCATGTGTACCCAGGGTTATCTGAAAATTTAAACTCTGAAGTGCGTTTCTGTATGTATGAAGATTTTCACAACAAAATGAATTTTAAAATATTGTAGATTGACAGATTTGTAAAAACAGTACCAAGAATTTCCGGCCACCCTCACTCATTCACCCACCTTCCCACATGTCATCGTCCTGCGTAACCTTGGCCCATGTGTCACAGGGCAGAAATGAGCCTTGTGTAGCCCTGCTGATAGAACCAAGTGCCAGGTGGGCACTGAGGCCTCTGAAGGACACAGGTCATCTGTGGAGGGGCCCTGAGTGTGGGTTTGCCTGGGGCCTCACACTGAGGCTGGGGCTCTGCATTCGTGGCAGAAGTCCCACAGACGACGCCGTGTCCTCCTTTGTCCATGCGTCTCATTGCCAATGATGTTGACCTTGACCCCTGCTTGGGGTGGCGTCCACCAGGTCCCTCCACTGCCCACTGTCAAGCTGCCATTTATCCCTCTCATCCTGGAGGAGACTCACAAGGCTGTGTAGGTGTCCTGGCCCCTTGTGGTGGGGGCAGGGATGGCTGTTTCATCCGCTGGTGGGTGTTGGCTACCACCATTGTGACCATGGTGTCTGTCGGAGATTATTGTCCTCACTGGTCTACTGATCAGCTGGTGTTCTGTAGAGAGAGCTGCCCCCACCCCTAACATATCTGGTCATTTTTTGTATAGGCGTGGGCTCCTGGGCTATGAGCAGATGCTGTGGTGTTGGCCACCGGGAGTGTCTGCTCGGGACTTCCTCTGTCCCTCTGTGTCACCATTTGGAGCACTTCCTCCCTTGCAGCCACTCAGGCTGGCCCAGGCTCACTCCCTGTCTTCCTTACCATGGCCCTTGGATCACCCACTCCTGATGGACAGCCTCCTAGACAGCCGCTTAGCACTGAGCCGTTTGGGCCCCATGTCCCAGGTGGTGACCTGAACAGCTCAAGGGGCCTCATGAAGGGTCTCCCACACGCGGTGTGCCAAGCATTGGTGGTATGGACATTGGCATTTCTTCCATCCTTTATTTTTAAATTGAGATAGGATTTGCGTATCATGCGATTCAGTGGCTTTTAGTAAATTCACAGAGTTGTGCCATCATCATCTCAATCTTCTATCAGAACGTTCACCACCCCGAAAGAAACCCCATCCCCATCAGCAGTCACCCCCACCTCCTCCCCAGCCTCTGACAACCACTAACCCACGTCCTGCCTGGATGTGCCTGTTCTTGACATTTCACATAAACGGAATCACGCACTGTGTGGCCTTGTGTGTCTGGCTTCTCTCACTGAGCACCGTGTGTTCAAGTTCCATCCACATTGTGGCGAATGTCAGTGCCTCACTCCTTTTCACAGCTGAGTGACACTCCAGTGTGTGGATGGGACACATCGTTTGTCTGTTTATCCATGGGTGGTTGTGTCCACCTGTTGGCCGTTGTGAATTGTGCTGTGGACATTGTGTGTAGGCCTTTGTGTGGACGTGTGCTCCAAACATGGGTGACTCTGATTTGGGGGCATATTTGGGGACATGCAGGGTCAGGGTGGAGATGAGTGACCCAGTATTCCAGACCCCCTGATGCCTCCTCTCAAGGCCACCTGGACCCCTAAAATTTTGGCGAGACTCCGGAGAGGGCTCTTTCCCATATGCTTACCCGCTCACATAGTCAGCATGGCGGCATCCACCCTGAGGGTCCCTCCAAGCATCTTGGGTGGACCCCACATCCACCCAGTGAGAATGCTGTGTCTGCCAGCCTCAGGCTTCTGGGAATCGACGATGAGGTCGCAATTCAGAAAAGTGCTTTGCAAACTCTTGGCAGCTCCCTGCTCATGAGGGGCAGGCAGCATCGACCACACATGCTGCAAATGGATTTCACCAGGTCAGAGGTCTGAGCCTACCCGCCAGCGCGGGTTCCCAGCAGTTACTGTCATCTGCCAGAAGGGAACTGGAGCGCAGGGTTTCTTCTCACAGGAGTCCATTGGTGCACACTGGGCCAGCGCCAGGAACCCCCCTCCGTGGTCTGCACTGAGGGCCATGGCCCTGTCTCCAGGGGGTCAGTCACCTTGTGGGAGTTGGGGCATTGGGCCCCAGGGGACAAGGAGGTGAGGGAGAGGCCGGGAGGCTGGGGACTGCCCCACAAACATTTTCTTAGAGGGGACCCTGCAGAAGCCTGGGTCTGAGTCCAGCCCCTCCTAACTGCAGCGCTGGAAAGCAGTTGGGGTGGTGTGCTACTGAGACAGCCGACCCACAACCATGGCCTGACAGAGCAAAGCTTTCTAGGGAGCTGTATGAGCATCCTGGACCCCACTAAAGCAGCACAAGCCAGGTGGTTTAAAACCAGATATTTACACCCTCACAGTTCTGGGGCCAAAAGTCCAAGATCAAGGTATTGGAAGGCTCTGTTCCCTCCCAAGGCCCCAGGGGAGGGTCCTTCCTGCCTCTTCCAGCCTCTGGGGGCTCTAGTGTCCCTGGGCTTGTGGCTACATCACCCCAGTGTCTGTCTCCTTGGTTACATGGCCTCTCCCTGTGTGTCTGTATCCAAATCTTCCTCTTATAAGGACACCAGTCATTGTACTAGGGCCACCCCACTCCAGTGTGACCTCTTCTTAGCTAATTTCATCTGCAAAGACCCTATTTCCAAATAAGGACCCATTAATAGGTTAGGACTCGAACCTGTCATTTTGGGGGATGCAATTCAGCCATCAGCAGGAATGTTTTAGTAGCGAGGTGTGCCTGAGGGATACCTGCAGTGCCCTCCCCACCCATCTGCCCAGTGAGTTTCCTTGGCTGTAACTTGGGGATGGACTGGCCACCTGTGGCACAGGCCAACAGTGCCTGAGACCTCAAGTGTATGAGGAGAAACTGGCGGGGAAGGTGTGAAGGGCAAAGGGGTGATACCCCAAGAACAGAACCGGCAGGGCGGGGGGCATTCTCCAGAAACCCGAGGCACTTAGGCCACACCCGCCTCTCTGCCCGGCCACATGACAAAGGGTCAGCCTGATGGCTAGAGAGGGTCCCGCCAGCCGGGTAGCCCCATAGCTCAGACACAGCCAGACAGGGACCAGTCGTGCTCATGGGACAGGATCCACTGCCATCCATGTCCTCGGGTATGGCCCTGCCCACGCTCACACCCGGGTCACCTGTTTCACTCCACCTGGGCCTCTGCCTGGACCCTGACGCAGGCTCCCTCACCCCCCAGCCAGTTCAGATGCGGACCCACAGCCTGTGGCCACCAGGGTGGCAGGGCCATTGGCAGGACAGGCTGGAGTGGGCAAGGTGGCAAGGTGCCTACTGGGTGACAACTTTCCCAGGATGGAACCCCTCCTTGTCTTTGGACATCCAGCTGTACCTTGGGCTTCCCCATATCCTCAGGGTCACTTCTTCCCATTAGCCAACCATCTGGTGACAAGATACTGGGGACAGAAAGTCAGTTTAGAAACTACGCTGGCAACTTGACAAATTTCATGCTAGTTACACCTGGTAATAAAAAGTTTGTGTTTCTACTTAGGATGTTCTTTTTTAACTTCAGTTTTCTAGTAATTCTTTTTCAAATTGAGACAGAATTTACAAACCTTAAAATTCACCTTTTTTAAATATATTCACAGGGTTGTGCACTCATCACCTCTATTTAATAACAGAACATTCCATCACCCCCAAAAGAAACCCTGTCCCCATTAGCAATCACCCCCCACTCTCCTCCCCAGCCCCTGACAACCACTAGCCCACGTCCTGTCTGTGGATATGCCTGTTTTGGACGTTTCACATAAGTGGAATCACACACTGTGTGGCCTTGTGTGTCTGGCTTCTCTCACTGAGCACCGTCTGTTCAAGGTCCTCCCATGCTGTGGTGAGTGTCAGCGCCTCCTTTTTACAACTGAGTGATACTCCAGTGTGTGGATGGGCCACACTTGTCCATGGATGACACATAAGTTTTGTCTACCTTGTGGCCATTGTGAAGCGAGCCACAGTGGACGCATGTGTGCAGGTTTCTGTGTGGACATGTTTTTATTTCTCTCGGTGGACACCTACAGGGTGCTGCAGGGTCGTGTGGTGACAGTTATCTTGGGAGGAACTGCTGACTATTAGGGAGAGATGCCTGCTGCATGTTTCTGTGTATGTTGGAGGTTCCAATTCCTGTACATCCTCGCCAGCACTTGTCACTCTCGTCTGAGTGTAGCTGCTCTGCAGGTGTGCAATGTGTGTCACTGGTTGTGACCTGCAGTTGCCTGGTGGTGTTGAGCATCATTGTATGACCTTGTTGCCATATGTACACTTTCTCTACTGCTCAAGGTGGCTGAGGTGGCTGAGGCCCGGTGGGGTGTTCCATAGAGCTCACTCCATTGTTGGGGTTTGTGTTGTCCCTCGGCTGTGGGGGAAAGACAGGGCAGGAGCTGTGAGGGTAGGCTCACAACTGCTCATCCTCCTTGACACGGTGGGTGGCCCCAGCCCCTCCTTGGCCATCTACCTCCTCTGGGCCTATATGGGGTGTTCTAAAACACAGTGGTTCTCCACTGAACCTGCCAGCTTTATGAGCCCCTGCCCACCAGCCCTGCCTGGTCCCTCCTCCGTGCTGTGTTGAGAGGGGCAGGGACAGGTGGGGGGCAGGAAAGGGGCTTTAGGGGCAGACAGAACCCTTGGCAAGGCTGGAAGAGGAGGAGCAGGGTGGGCCCTGGTGACCAGGAGGAGGCGCTCCAGGGGGGATCCAGCCCTAGGGCCTTTGAAGCATTGAAGACAGCTCCAGCATGGCTAGTGAAGGCCCGTGAACCTGTGTCCAGGCTGAGGAGCTGGAGGCTGGGGGCTGGGCCTGCAAGGGTGTGGGGTGGTGGTTTGCAGAGGCATGGGATGGGCCTCAGTTTCCTTCCTGTGTCGTGGGGACCTGTGCCCCTTAGAGTCACTGCTGTGGGTAACTCAGGCTCAGCAGAGGGTCCCTACCAGGTCTACCAATGAGGTGGGAGTCAGGTAGAACAGAACCCAGTGCACCAGTGTTCTGGGAAAACCAAGGCCAGGGCTGGGAGGGGCTACCTGGGTGTCCCAGCCTGTGCCCTCCCCCCACCCCCACCCCGCAAATCATCCGAATGAGCTGCCAGCAGAGGGGCCTGGCCATGGCTGACAGGTTCCTGGGGATGAGGTGCTCAGGGAAGGGGTGCCAGGGGCCCCCAGGGCATGCGCATTCTTGACAGCTGTTTGTGGCTGGATTCCGCTCTGTACAGTAATTGTCTGCACTGCCAGTAATCGCCCTGACTTACCAGGCAGGCATCATTTCCTGAAAGTCAGCGGCCTTAGGGGAAGTGGGCGCCAGCAGTGACTAAACCAACATGCAAATGCAGCTGGGCTGGGAGAAGGCCCATCTGCGCCCAGCACCCGCGGTCATGAGGGAGCGCTCCTGCACCTTCCAGGGGACCTGCCTGTGGCCACACCATGTCCCAGCTGCGGTTCTGGTTGCAGTTTGCAGCGCTCAACAAGGTAACCCGCTTGGCCCTGGGTGGGGGCGGGCCTGGCCCCCTCCCACCTGGCAGGCAGGTCGGGCCACCTGCAAACTGGGACGGGATGTGAGGACTGACGGGACCGCCCAGGCCCGGGGACCCTCTCCCCTCCTCCTCTCAGCCTCCTGGCAGCTTTGTTGACAGCAGACATTGACTCTGAGGGAGTTTCCCGAGTGAAAGTGGTGGGGATGGTGGGGACGCGGGGCTCATGGGACAGCCAGGAAGGCGCCTCAAAACGAAAGTGCTTTTGGGAGGTGGGAGGGGCTGTGTCTGCGTGCCTCCAGTTCCTGCTCCGGTCTGGAGCATCCAGAGACCTTGGGTGACCCGGGACAGCCATCAGTTACCAGGGTTCAGCAGGCGCAGTTTGGGATGGGCTGTGATTGGACAGGTAGGAATGGGTCCCATCCCTCCTCAGATCCCCATGGACCCAGGCGGCTGTCCAGCCCAGGTCCCCGGCAGGTGAGAGAACCCATCTGAAGGGTATTTCTGGAGTCGGCTTCGGCCAGGAGGGGGTGCTGAGTCCCCCCAGTCCCCCGCCCTCCCTGCCCCGCCGGGGAGGCCCAGAGCCAGGTCTGGGTGGGGACCGTCCAGTCCTGTCCCATTGGGCTGGGGTGGAATGCTGTGTGGGCAGCTCTACCAGGTCCTGCCAGATCCTCACCTGGGCCAGGAGTCCCTGAAATGCTGCAGATACAGTAACCACAGGTAACCCTGCACGCTCCTGGTCCCCCAGAACTGTTAGGGTGACCAGCTGGCTCCCTCCCCACTTGGGGGCTGCAATGGAAGGGGCATTGTTGGGGCCTGGGAGCCTGGGAGCAAGTGCTCCAGGTGGGGGTCCAGGGAGGGCAGTTCTGGGTTTGGGTGGTCTTGGAGGTCTGCTGGTGGCTGCTGGGAGTCAGATCTCCACAGAGGTGGACAGGTGGGTGGCCCACCAGGTGGGGTCCCGTCTTACCCTTATCCAGCTTGCCACTCTGCACAGGAGGTGGAGCTGGGGGACCTCTTAGGGGGCCCCAACCCCCTGACCCGTGGTGACACACACGAGACCCCTCCTCCCTTTGCCTGAGAATTGAGGGACCCCCACTGGAGGCAGCTTCCATGGAGCTCCCACTTTTTAAATAGACGATTTTTTTTTTAATTTATTGGGCAACAGCCATGGTCGTTGGTTACACATTGTTTTCATGCTACAATCGCATAGTTGACTATTTTAAGGAGGGCGTAGCTCACAGTGGCCCATGTGGGTATCAAACCAGCAACCTTGGTGTTATCAGCACCACACTCTAACCAACTGAGCTAACTGGTCACCCCATAGACGATATCTTTTAGAACAGTTTTAGATGCACAGAATTACTGTGATGGTGCAGACCGCCGTGTCCCCTGCCCCGTACCCCTGTTCACACTTTCGTCAGTGCAGTACCTTTGTCACAACTGATGAGCCAGGACTGAAACACCATTAATAACCAAAGTCCATATTTACTTGGATTTCCTCAGTTTCCCCTGATGGCTTCTCTGCCCCAGGTCCCCATCAGGATCCCACGTGACACTCAGTGGTCATGTCCCATTGGCCCCTCCTGCTGATACGGTTTCCGTACCTCTCCTGTGTGGACGCTCTGAGCCATCGTGTCCTGCAGGATGTCCCCAGTCTGGGGTTTCAGGTGTTTTCTTATGATTGCACTGAGGAATGTGCCCTGTTCATCCATCATGTCAGGGTCCCTGCTGTCCCATGGCTCCTCACGGCTGATGTTGACCCTCATCTCTTGGCCAGGGTGCTAGTCATGTGTCTCCACTGGAAAGTCCCTTCATCATCCACATTGTCCTCTTGGGAAGGGTTGCAGTGTGCAGCCCACAGGGATGGGGTCCCCCTGCGCACCAGATTTTTACCAGGGCCATTACTCCTCCTCTGCCCCCTACATCCTGCCCACTACTCGGGGACCATCAGTAAGCAAGGCCACCTCTCAGGGCCCTAGGAGCTGGTGTCACTCTTACCAGGCTCGGGCACTGCCCACCAGGAGGGTGGTGCTCAGATGTGGCCCCAGAGGGACTTCAACAAAGACGTGGCCACTTCTACCTACACCCAGACCCCACCCTGGCCAGCCTGCTGAGGTCTCTGGGGCCTCGGCCGTCAAAGGGACCGGTTGGCCAGCTTTTGCAGCCTGTTATCATCCACCAGCAGGTGCTGGGCAACCTCTGACCCCAGCTGCCTGGGGAGGAGAGGGCCCAGCGGAGGTCTCAGTGGGTAGAGGACAGGTCTCAGGTCAGCAGCGCCAGACCTGCCCACGGCCACCTCAGTTTCCCGACAGCTGCTCTGGCCTGTTGAGTCGCCAGGCTCTCACACAAGGGCGCCAAGTGCCCCAGGAGCGTCAGGGTGTACCCGCTCCCACTCCTGCTTTTGTCCTGGGCCTCCAGGTCTTTATAAACCTGCCCAGGTGGCCTGAGCCCCCTGGACCTGCCCAGGCTGCAGGGTCCTAGGCTAGAGACAGTGGGGGAGGCTGGGTCTGCCCCTCGAGGGTCCAGGCCGCTCTCAGCCAGGGGGCAAGGGTAAGAGCAGGCCTGGTGGTCTGAGCTCCCTCTTTGCTCAACATGGGACCAGCCCCTGTGGCTCCCTGTGTACATGGGTGGCCAGGGCTCTCCCAGGCTGAGGAGAAGCCCAACGAGGCCCCCAGCCTCACACCAGCCAACATGGCTGAGGGTGGTCTTTCTTGCATGTTCCCTGACCCCCAACCGGCTCCTGGACTGATCTTGTCCAGCAGATGGGCAGACCAAGGCTCTTGCGACCAGCTGTCCCCAGAGAGGCCACTGGGTAGACTCTGGCCCTGTCTCCACCCCACCCTTTCCCTTGGGGCCCTGCTGTCCTTTTGGTGCAGTGGCCGAACCTGCCTCGTCCTGGGGCTGTGCGTGCACCAGTGTCTGAGTCGGACCTTCGGGACGGTGTCGCATCTTCCTCCCCTCCCCCTCCAGGAATAGGGATCTGATTCTGACACAGATCACTGGGGTATACAGCCGGCCTGGGCACTGGCCGAGACCTGGGCCTGTTCCCAGCTGTGACCTCATGGGCACAACAGGTGGGCTCCAGGCACAGGTGTCCCCTTCCTTCCTGGAGTCCACTGACTGAGCCCCCAGGTCTCAAGACCCCCCCACCTGTCATCCCATCTTCCTAGTCTTCCCTGCCAATTGGTGGGTCCCAGCCTGCCTGGCCTTGGTCCTCCAGTGCCCCCCACAGGCTGGGACCGTGTAAGTGGAGCACAGGGTTTGGGACTCCAGGGTGGCAGCTCCCCTGGCCATGTGGCGTGGCCTTGGTCACACCCACTGGGCCCCTCTGCTCTGGGGGAAAAGCTCCCTGACACAACTCTCCAAAATGCTGAGGGCAGACATTAGTGTGACCGGTCCGCTGCAGCCACAGCTGGGCAGGCTGGGGGCCCCTCCCAGTGGAGTAAGCCTAGGGCTGCTCCCCTGCCCCTGATGTGGGCCTGCACTCCTCCCAGCTCTCAGGTCCCTGTCTGCAAAACGGGCACTGACTACCCTCCAGGTGGCGGGCACTGCAGGGGAGTGTGGTAAGGGGCTCATTCCCTGCTGATCCAGGGCCCCAGAGGGGCTGGTCCCCACGTGTCTCCATGTCCAGCACAGGCCGGGCACATGCAGGCACTTGGTGCCACTGACTGAGGGAAGGGGAGGGCATCACAGATGCCCCTGGCACTGTGCCTGATTTTTTTTTTTTCCTTTTTAAAGATTTTTATTGGGGAATTGGAGGGAACAGCGCTGGGGAATCGGGGAAGGGGAACAGACAAGTTGCTGTCCTTTGGTTCTTCAGTCTAGTTGTGGAAGACATCGCTTCACTGGCTCATGTTGATATTGTGATCATTGCGCTCTTCCCGGCTGAGGCAGATCAGTCACCGGCCATTGAACGGCCACTCACAGCAGCTCATGCCAGCTTCCGGCCACTCACGCTGCTGCTGGCCACTCACAGTAGCTTACGGCAGCCCACCGCAGCCCCACTGCAGCCTATGCCATTGCCGGCGACTCACAGCAGCCCAGCTCTAGGTCAAGCTGTTGTTTACCATCTTAGCTGTAGAGGGCGCAGCGTCACTGGCTCATGTGGGATCCGAACTGGCGGCTCTGCTGCTCAGAGCTCCCACTCCCAAGTCAACTCTTAACCAACAAGCCACTCGGCCAGCCCTGCCTGATTTTTTTTAAATTTAGTTTTATACACTGTGTGTAACCTACATGCATCAGGCTTCTCCCAAAGGTGTGGGGTCTCCCAAGTCCTGACAACCCTACACTGGTGTCACCTCCTCCACAGTGATGGGCTAGGGAGGGCACAGGGCTGCTGTCACCCTCTCCCATTGTCATCTCAGTGGGGTCCAGCATGCAGCCCATGGGGCCTGACTTCTCTCACAAGTGTTGTGTTTTCATGGTTTGTCCATGTTGTAGTGAGTATCCAAGTGTCATTCCTTTCATAGTGGAGCAGCGTCCACTGCGTGGCTGGCTCCCGTGTGCCTGCTGTGTGGCTGCTTGGCTGTGCCCTCACCCACCTGTCTTCCAGGACTCCTCGTACCTTGATGACCTCTCCAATGCCTCCATCTTCTCCTCATCTGTGGACTCTCTCTCGGACATTGCCGACACACCTGACTTCCTACCAGCCGACAGCCTCAGCCAGGTGCCCACCATTTGGGATGTGAGCACTGGCCCCTCCGCCCATGACAAGGTCAGTGGCTCATCCACAGGCTGTTTAGACACCGATGAGGCTGTCGGTCTGTGGCCCTCATGTTTCCTACATGGCTCAGAAAATGCAGGATTTGCAGGGGAGCTCTAGCACTGGGCTTCTCAGTCCCTCTCTGTATAAGCCCCACACCCCTGCGCCCTTGCCTCCAGTGGCTCAGTCTCCACACACTGCTGTGCTGGGCCTGCTAGTGAGACAGGGGTCCCCAGGAGATCAGCTAAATGTCATTTCTGATACTAGTTCTCACCTAGGGTGGTTTGCCCCCAGGGAACACTGTCTGGGGACATCTGTGGTGGTCATGACTGGGGGTGTCCCTGGCATCAAGGGGGTGGGAGCCAGAGATGCTGCTTAACACTCTACCATATCCAGGACAGCCTCTTATGAAGAGTGACCAGGCCCTAATGTCAGCTGTGCCAAGGGGGGACCCTGGGCTAGAGAAAGTCACATGATGGGATAGAGACAGTGGGCAGGGAGTGGTCCCTCTGGAGAGGCCATGTTTCGGCTGAGGGCTGAGTGATTCTGAAGGGGGCAACCCCTTCCATCTGGTAGCTGGAGACCTCAGAGCCTACTGGTGGCCACACACTAGTAGACATGAATGGCACATGCCCGCCTGGCCACCTTGAAGGTGCTCAGAGCCCTTGGGCCTCATAGGCCCACAGGAAGGGTCTGTGATTGGACAGCAGAACAGATGGGCCTGGGAAGTGCAGGGCCCAGCTTGGGGCCCAGAGGAGGACAGGAAGTGTCCAGGCAGCCCAGCGAGGTACCCTGCTCTTGGCAGCATTGGTGGATGACCCAGCTCCATCCCCGTGTTTGGGTGCAGGGGCCCAGTGGAACAGTGGCATTGCCCATGCCTCCCAGGGCCCTGTGCATCTGTGGCTCCCAGCTCCTGGGAGGAGGGCATGAGGGCAGCTGAAACCTGACGCCCGCCGGGAACCCTGACTCAGTTTTCCAGGAACCTGGCTGAGGCTGTTTGTTTTTGTTAATTCAAAAAAAAAAAAAAGGGGGAGAGGGACTTGAACATGGGATTCTAACTTCCCTGTACCTTGCTTCCATTTTTTTTTTTTTAAATCCTTTCTTTTTTTTTTAAATGAAGTACTTCACGAGTTTGTGGGTCATTCTTGCTCACTGTCCATGCTAATATTCTCTGTATCGTTCCAATTTTAATGCAGCCAAAGGGAGTATTGGCTGTGTTCTTAACGTTTGGAAACAGGAGTCATGATAAGTCAGTTATACGTGACCGAATCCTCTGGTGACGCTTGTCCCCAAGACTGTAAATGACACTGTGCTCCGGGGCACCCAGCACTCACGGTCGTCAGTCTCAGGATGATGGGGGCCCGCATGGGGCCAAAGAGGTTGAGGGAGGCCATACGTTACTTTCAGGATTTTTTTTTTTAAGAGCGAGCATGTTTTGGAATCGCTCTGACCCGGGTCTGGACCCTGCCATGCCGTCACTCACACACAGCCCCACGCCTATGGGCCGAGTAGTCACCCTTCCCAGCGTCAGTGTGAACATCTGGACAATGTGTGTGACCATTCCCTGGGGGTGGGCAGGTTGAAGGCCAGAGTGTGTGACTCAGCCCTAATAGGTTTGGGTCTCCTGTGCCAGCCCATCTGACTGCCCAGTCCTTAGGCCCCAGGATGAGACTGGGGCCATCAGTTTCCCCAGGGTGGGACTGTGGTCTGGGACATCCACATGAGGGCATTCCCTCATGCAGAAGCCCTGCCCCCATGGGCCACCTGTATACCAAGTGCTGGGGACCAGCAAAGGGGAGATGAGGCGTGGCTATCACCATGCCAGGGTCACAGAGGTAAGTGGCCCAGCCCACAGGGCCCCAGGCCCCTCTGCCAGCCCCTAGGATGGTCCTGCTGTCTCTTGTCCTACCCCCTATGCATCCTGCCACATTCCCTGAGTACTCATGCCTGGCACACAGTCGGTGTTGGCCACCAGACCCCAGAAAGGCCTGTCCTCAGCCTGGACCTCAAGGGGAGGCCTCTGTCCTTCACCAGAACCATCTGGCAAGCAGCAGGAAGGAGGCAGGCAGCTGGGGAGTAGGAGGGGCATGAGGATGGCATGGAGAGCCCCCAGAGGCCAGGCTGGTGGGCCCATTGAGGTGCTTCCTGTACACAGCTGGCCTGCAGGCTCACGTCCACTCTCCCCTCCAGTTGTTCCTGCCCAGCGGGCCATTTACAGGCCTCGAGGACCCTGTGTCCTCCCTCCCCAGCACCCCACTTCTCGTCAGTTACCAGGTGAGCTGGGTTCCTTCCCCAGCCCTTCCCGCTGCCCCTCCTGGGACTAAGGAGGACCATTCACACTCGGACATCTGCCATATGTCAGATCCTGAGCTGGCTTAGAAGCTGGGTCTGCCCATTTTACAGATGGGGAAACTGAGGTCCTGGGAAGCACCATGTTGTGGAGGTGGGAGGAAAGACAGGCCCTCTACCCTACTGCCCCCATCACTGGCCTGGCTGGTGGACCAGGTCCCTGCTCCTTGCGGGGAGGCTGGCCATGCTAGGTGGATGGGCAGTCCCCACCCTGAGGACACTGGCCTTTAGTCTCAGAGTCAGCCAGAGGAGGAGGACGAGGCGGAGGAGGATGAGGCGGAGGACCTGGGCCACACAGAGATCTACGCTGACTATGTGCCATCCAAGTGTGAGTGCATGGCCGCCCCTCCCCCACTCATGCCCAGGAGACCCTCCAGCAGACCACAGCAGATCTGAACAGCCCCACCCAACCTCACGGCTCCTGCAGGCCGGCTTGGTTCTGGTTCCATGGTCCCTGAAGCAATGAAGGTGGCCTGGTAGGGGTGAGGGGGAGGAGTGGTCATCATCCACACCTGGCACAAAACAGGAAGTAGCGGAGAGGGTTCAGTGGAAAGTAAGCCTACTTCCTACCAGCTCAGGGAGGGTTCTATGGGCCTGCCTCCCCTATCCTCTGTGCAAAACAGTGATGGGCCCCCTCCCTGCACCCTGCTCTGCCCCTCACCCTTCTGGGAGCATCTCCACCCCCATCCTGGTCCCCTGCTGCTGACCCTGAGACCCTGACCTACCCTGGCCACGCCCCTTCAGCCAAGATCGGGAAGCAGCACCCCGACCGTGTGGTGGAGACCAGCACGTTGTCCAGCGTCCCGCCCCCGGACATCACCTACACCCTTACCCTTCCTGGCTCGGACAGCGGGGTCCTGTCTGCCCTGCAGCTGGAGGCTATCACCTACGCCTGCCAGGTGACTCCAGGGTCTCCCACCTGACCTCGGTCCGCAGGGGGGGTTGCGGTGCCCACCTGATCGCGTCCTGCGTGGGATCCTGACCGCTGTCCCCCCGCCCCACAGCAACACGAGGTCCTGCTCCCCAGCGGTCAGCGTGCGGGCTTCCTCATCGGCGATGGTGCGGGTGTGGGCAAGGGGCGCACGGTGGCCGGCATAATCCTGGAGAACTACTTGCGGGGCCGCAAGAAGTCCCTGTGGTGAGCGTCCCCCTGCACGCAGGGCGAGCGGGGCCGGCGGGGTGGGGGCAGGGGCCCTGACACCCGCCGGCCCTCACCCCCCTCCAGGTTCAGCGTCTCCAATGATCTCAAGTACGATGCGGAGCGCGACTTGCGGGACATCGATGCCCCCAGCATCGCAGTGCACGCGCTGAACAAGGTGGGTGCGTCGCCCTGCCCATCGCCCAGTTTGGGGGTTCCCCTGCGCCCTGGCGCTCACCCATGCCTGCCCCTCTCCCCAGATCAAGTACGGCGACAACACTACCTCAGAGGGCGTCCTGTTCGCCACCTACTCCGCCCTGATTGGAGAAAGCCAGGCCGGTGGGCAGCACCGCACACGCATCCGGCAGATCCTCGAGTGGTGCGGGGCGGCCTTTGATGGCGTGGTATCCTGGTGGTGCGAGAAGCGGGGAGAAAGGCGGGGGGCTGAAGGGGGCGGAACCGAGGGGAGGGAGGTGGGGCTAGAAGAGATGCGGCCAAGGGGAGGGGCTGATCGGCCTTAAGTTGGGGGCCGAGGGGGGAGCTGGAGGGGCGTAGGGAGCCGAGGCCGCCTGGCACATCACCAGTGCAGGAGGAGTTCCAATCAGAGGACTGTGCTCCGGGAGGCTCTCCCCAAGTGATGGCTGCCGTTGTCCCTCCTGGTGAGGCACCACCTCCTGGCTCCATCCCACTGAACTGTGATGGGACCTGGACCGCAGACTCTGAGTGGTGTTTGGTGGCAGAAAGGTGCCACCTGGGGGGAGGTGTGGGGCGCGTAGCACCTCCTTCTGCCCACCCCCCAGGATTGGGGGTTTCTCTGTCTTGCCCTCCTTCTCTCTCAAAACTTGGACAATTTTGCCTTCTGTTCTGCAGCATGTGGCCCTGAGCTGGCCTGGTGCACTGATGGCCCTGAGGGAATCCTGTGGGTGCCCACCCTCCTGTGCGCTGCCTCCCCAGGTTGTCCCCTGTGTGCCATCTCACATCACTGTGCTCCCCGCTTGAGCCCGAGCAGGTTTACTGGCCAGTGTGCGCTTCATGCTGCTCTGTCCTGTCCTTACTCGACCGTTTCCCCATCACGGGGACATTCTGGGGGTTTTCAAGCCTCTACATTATGCACAGCCTGGTGTACATCCTGTCTGTCACCCTTTCTCATTGTGTCTTCGGGACCACCCCCAGAAGTGGAGCAACGGGCTCCAGCAACCCTGGTCCCAGTCAGAAACAAGAAGGGAGATGTGGGCCCTGTGTGTACTTCATGGTCACGTGGGCAAGTATATGGATTTACTGGTTAGACACATGCTTTAGTGCAGAGCACCTCTTGTGCAGAAAGAAGAAACAAGGTGACTAGTGCATCCTGGGCACCTATGTGACACCTTGCACAGCCTGGGGGAAACGATAGTGTAAAAAAATCCCAATATTAACATTCGACCCCAGGGCCTGAGTGCTCAGCTCCAGATTTCCGCTTTCTCTTGGATTTTGTAAATCTTCTGTCAGTCCTTTAATACACATCACGTGTACACGTGTAGACACCCACATTTTTTTTAAATACACTCATTATAGGTATGCTTGTCTATAACTTTTTCCTCTCAAAACATTTAAGAACTTTGTACATTTTCCAGTTTCTTCAGGGTCACTTTTTTAACAGATCAGTGTAGATTTGTGCAAAGTCATATACAGAGAGACCTCAGTTCCCCATGGAACCAATCATGGCCCACCCCTCTTATTCAGGGGCCCCCTTTTCTTCATGCTCATTTGTGCGCATCTGTGTCAGCATTGTCTGTAAGGTTTTTTTCAAGACCATCACACGCCACATTTCCTTCAGCAGTCACCTGGGGGCCTAGAGGCTGTTTCCCACTCACCCGTGGTCAGACCCCCCCCACCCCCCAGGCGCCTTGCTGTGCTCCCCCAACCAGGAAGAGCAGGCTGGGGCAGCCACATCCCAGAACAGTCCTTAACCCATGCCCACCCCAGATTGTGTTTGACGAATGCCACAAAGCCAAGAACGCTAGCTCCACCAAGATGGGCAAGGCTGTGCTGGACCTACAGAACAAGCTGCCCTTGGCCAGGGTGGTCTACGCCAGTGCCACAGGTGAGGGGCAGCTGCCAGGGGCAGGGAGGGAGCCTGATTACATGTGCCATCGTCGATTAGCCATGTCTGTTCTGGTGCAGCCATTGAGGGGGTCCCATGTGCCTTCTGTTGGCCTTGCTGGTCTGCACCTCTGGCCCTAGGAGGCACCCTGCAACTTGGTCCAAAGGCGGAGCTCTTCCCCCCAGGCCAGCGGTACCTTCCACAGCTTCTCAGATATCAACCACTATCAGAGCCTCACCCTAGCACTCCTGGCTGTAGGTGCTTTCCTGGGTCCCTCAGGCCCCTGTACCTCGTCCTTGTGTCATTTCTGAGCCCATGGACCCCAAACCTCACTGGGCCAGAGGAGCTGACAGTGACTCCCACCCCAATGCCCCTAGGTGCCTCTGAGCCCCGAAACATGATCTACATGAGCCGCCTGGGCATTTGGGGTGAGGGCACGCCCTTCCGGACCTTTGAGGAGTTTCTGCATGCCATCGAGAAGAGGTGAGTGCCAGTCTGCCCATGATGGAGGCAGCAGGGGTGCCCACTGAGGGCCCTGGTTATCACATGCTGAGACCTGGTGTCCATGTGCCCATGCTGCACCCCAGCCCATGCTCTTCCAGCAACGAGAGGGATCTTAAAATGCAAATCCCACCTTTTCTCTGCCTAGTGCTTCCCATCACTCTAGGGCAGCGGTTCTCAACTTTCCTAATGCCGCGACTCCTTAATACAGTTCCTCATGTTGTGGTGACCCCCAACCATAAAATTATTTTCGTTGCTACTCCATAACTGTAATTTTGCTACTGTAATGAATTGTAATGTAAATATCTTTTTGTTTTCTGATGGTCTCAGGCGACCCCTGTGAAAGGGTCGTTCGACCCCCAAAGGGGTCGCGACCCACAGGTTGAGAACCGCTGCTCTAGGGGAAAGAGCCCCTCCCTGCTTTTCTCTCATCTCCCCTACCCTCACCGCAGCCCAGGAAGACCATCAGGCTAATGGGAACACAGGGCCTTTGCACATGTTCTGCACTCCCTCTGTGTACCTGGCCCTTCCTCACCCTCCAGGGCTCAGCTCCCGGTGTCAGCCCCTCCCTGGAGGTGCCTCATTACTCAATGGGACCCAGCATGACCTCAGGCAGCCCCATCTCCTTCAACAGGGGCGTGGGTGCCATGGAGATTGTGGCCATGGACATGAAGGTCAGTGGCATGTACATCGCACGCCAGCTCAGCTTCAACGGCGTCACCTTCCGCATTGAGGAGATCCCACTGGACCCAGCCTTTGAGCATGTCTACAACCGTGCAGCCCTGCTGGTGAGCCAGGGAGCTGGGGGTCTCACTGCATTTCCCCTAGAATTACAGCCCTGTTACCTTTAGCATCTGTCCTTAAAGATGCCACAGGGGTTTATCAGGTTACAGAAAGGAGGAAGCAGCCAGCCCACGTGCTGTGGTCTTTGGCTGGAGTCCAAGTTTTTTTCATGGCATTGATTCTTATGTGACTGGAGTGATGTGGGCACATGGCCGGGCCCCACCATGTCACGAGCACTTGCCCCCAGGCTGTTTGCAATGTCCACGTCTCTGTGCGCTGTAGCTTGGACCTCATCTTCACCGCCCCCTCCATGTGCAGATGAGTTCCTGTGTCCTCACTGTCACACCCACATGGGACAAGCATTGAGCATTGGCCCTGCCCGTGCTATATATTTAGTTCAAACCAAGACAGGGTCTGCCCCTCAGCACTGTGCACACTGGGGCTGGGTCATCTCTGTGGGGGGCCGTCCTGCATACTGTGGAGAGCTGAGCAACATCCCTGAATGGAACACCCCCAGTCGCAACCACCACAGATGTCCCCAGACTTAGTGCCCAGTGTCCTCTGGGAGCAGGATCGCCCCAGGTGAGAACCCCTGATCTAAAATGTCAGGAGTGGAGTGACTGCTGGCAGGAGTCACTGCAGATGTCCCCATGGCTTCCTGAAATTGTAGCCTCACCCACCCCTGTGCCGATCTCACTGTGGCATTATAGGCACCACACGTCTTGGTTTTTTTGTTTTTTCGTTTTTTTATTTTTTATTGGGGAACAGTGTGTTTTTCCAGGACCCATCAGCTCCAAGTTGAGTAGTTGTTTCAATCTAGTTGTGGGGGGGTGCAGTTCAGCGGTCCATGTGGGGATCAAACCAGCAGCCTTGGTGTTGTGAGCACTGCACTCTAACCAACTGAGCTAATCAGCCACCCTGGTCTTGTTATTTTTTAATGTTTCTGGCTGCTCAGGCATCTACAGAGCCCCCACTTTGGCCCCCCATTCTAGTAGGGTGGGAGCTGGGGGCAGCAGGGCAATGGCGAGCTCAGTCAGCATGTGGCTGTCATTGCAGTGGGCCGAGGCCCTGGGCGTGTTCCAGCAGGCAGCCGACTGGATTGGCCTGGAGTCACGCAAGTCGCTGTGGGGCCAATTCTGGTCGGCCCACCAGCGCTTCTTTAAGTACCTGTGCGTGGCTGCCAAGGTGCGCCGGCTGGTGGAGCTGGCAGAGCAGGAGCTGGCCTGGGACAAGGTGAGTAGGTGGCAGTGATGGCTGGGCCCTCAGGGCTGGGCAAGGGCTGAGGCTCATAGCTGTACCTGGGACCCTGCCTCCATGCCTGAGGGCCAAGCAGGTGGAACTGGCACATGTCTGTCTCATGATCATAGAAACCCCAGAGAGTGTGGCTGGGCTGGGCTGATCCCAGGAGGACGGGTGGGAATGATGAGCTGAGGTCCAGAAGATGCCAATCTTGCCCAACTTGAGCTCCCTGTAGCAGGTGCAGGCATAGCCATGCCCCTGGCTCTTGTTCAAGCTGGGCTAGCATGGCCCCAGAAAGAATGGGGTGGGGAGTAGTGAGGGGGCCCAGGAGGGCTGAGGCTGGCTGCCACGTGGACTTCCAGGTGGGTCTGGGCGTGTTGAGGGCCTGGCAGCCAGTGGGACACAAGGGGAGGAAGGAGGGACAAACTGAGGCAGATTAGGTTTCTAGCTGCAGGGGCTTCCCTGTGGGCCCCTCTGGGGCCATGATCCAGGGTTGTGGATGGGGGTCCCAGCACCTGCTCACCCCCAGCCCACCCCCCTCAGTGCGTGGTCATCGGGCTGCAGTCCACTGGCGAGGCACGGACTCGGGAGGTGCTGGACGAGAAGGATGGGCAGCTCGACTGCTTCGTCTCAGCTGCTGAGTGAGTTACACCTGTGGAGGGCGGGGTGGGGGTGGGGTTGCCACCTTTACGACCCCTCATTCTGTGGCTCACTGGGCCTTCCTAGTGGTGATGTAGCCCTGCCTATGACCCCCACCTGCGGGAGCCTGGGAGCAAAGTTTGCTAAGCCCTGTTCCTGGAGACCTCAGGCCCAGCTTAGTCTTAAAGCCACAAGGATTAACCATGGGCACTCAAGGAGCAAGGGTGTGAGGGTGTCAGGGATGGTCCCAAGATTTCAGGCCAAGGCTTCCAGGAGCCCATCCCCCAATTTGGGGATGGTACTGTTTCAAGGAGGAGGACTCCTTTTTTTTTAAGGAGGAGGAATTTAGGGGATGGGCTTCAGAGTTCCCAAAACCCCCAGCCTCTCTTCCCAGCCCATAGTGAGCAAAGATCCCAGCATGGGGCCACTCATCCCAGCTCCTCCTCATGGCCCAGCATTGCCTCCCTTCTCCAGGAAGCCCCCAGCCCCTCACACCTACCCCACCTGCCCCAATCCTAGGAGCCACCACATGTGGCCACCTTCTTGTCCCTTGGAAGTGGTCAGCCACCCCTAAACCCCCAGCCCCACACAGTCCATCGCAGCGAAACTGTGCCCACTGTAGCCATGGGCTCCACTGAATGTGAGTTGAGATCCAGCCCCAAGGTCCTCGGGACATATACACGAGTGGAGGCACCTCTAGTCTCCTGGCGGACAGCATACCATCCTCGTAGTGAGAATAAACTGCTTCTCACTCTCAGGGGCGTCTTTCTATCACTAATTCAGAAGCATTTTCCTTCAACTAAAAGAAAGCGAGACAGAGGAGCGGGCAGTAAAAGAAAACGTAAGTGCCCCACCTCACCTGCCTGCTTCAGCTCCTGGGCCTCCCTGCCATCCTCCTTCTCGCTGCCTCCCTGCAGCCCCTTCTTTCTTAGCATGTCCCAAGCCAGCCAGTCTTTCCCACTGGCCCCTGTACTGGAGGCCTTACCGCCACCCCAACCTTATCCCTGCAGGCAGCCCTGTGGTGGGAACTCCCCTTTCCTGGCCTCTACCTGCAAAAGAGGGCTAGGGAAGGATGAAAGCACAGACCTCTTGGGGGAGGGTGTCCGGGGGCTGACCATATGTTTCCAAAAGAAACCAGGGAGAGTAGCCCCCTGCTGCACTGTCCGCGTGCATCGCCATGAGCTGGGCCCCAGGCCAGGCCCAGGTGACCCTGGCTTGTCCCCGCAGGGCGGCCACGGGGCCGAGGGGCCAAGGCATCCAGGCAGGTGTCCGAGGCGGTGGGTGTGATCCGCATCAGCGATGACAGCAGCACGGAGTCGGATGGCGGCTTGGACAGCGACTTCCACTCCTCCCCTGAGTCCCTGGCAGACGACGACGTGGTCATTGTAGACACTGTGGGGCTCCTGGCCGACGACCGGGGTGAGGCCCATGGCCCAGCACTTCCCCACTTTGCAGATGGGGGACATGGGCTCAGCTCAGAGGGGTGGTCAGTGGTAGTGCTGGGCTCACAGGGGTAGCATGAGGTGAGGGGAATGTCTGGACCACCCCACACCTCTGCCCCCACACCTCTCCTGCACCTGTATCCAGAACTGGTGGGGACCTCCTCATCCTGCAGGGCCCAGGGCTGAGTTTCACTGTGAGTGGGGCAATGGGCGGGCAAAATGGCCAGTAGCCCCTGACCCTCTGCCCTGCAGGGCCCCTGTGCCCCCCACAGCGGGACCCGCATGGCCCCGGCATCTTGGAGCGGGTGGAGCGGCTGAAGCAGGACCTGCTGGCCAAGGTTCGGGCACTGGGCCGAGAGCTGCCCGTCAACACCCTGGATGAGCTCATTGACCAACTTGGGGGTCCCGAGCGGGTGGCAGAGGTGAGCTCTGGAGGTGCCCCAAACTGGACTCAGGCTCTGGCGCCCCCTAGTGGCCATGCCAAGTCCCTCCCAGCACTGGAGGTTGGGGGGTAACTGCAGGGTCCAGTGTCCAGTGGAGGAGCATGCCCACCTCACCCAACACCCCTGTGTGCCCCTGGACCTCTGGGTTCTGGGTGTGGTCTCAGGCCCCAGGCTGGAACCCCCACCAGTCTTCCCTGCCCATCTTCCCTTTCCATCTGCACTAAACTTTTCTGGGATGTTCCTCGGTGCCACTTCAGAGCCATTGCAGCTCCAGACTTCTGGTTTACTATAAAAGATGGAGGTGGTGACAATCCCTGTCATGTGCCCCGTGGGCAGCCTGAACCCAGGGTCCACAGCACCCCCCCCCACACACACACACACACACACAGAGGTGGGGACAGGGCACAGGAGGGAGACAGGGAAACTGAGGCATGGGGGAACCAGTCCATGGGCATCCACAGAGGCTGACAACCTGTCTCTCACCCTTGGCCCTGCCACAGATGACTGGCAGGAAGGGCCGCGTGGTGTCCAGGCCCGACGGAACGGTGGCCTTCGAGTCACGTGGGGAGCAGGGCCTCTCCATCGAGCACGTGAACCTCAGGGAGAAGGAACGCTTCATGAGCGGGGAGAAGGTGCGGGCTGCCAAGCAAGGACAGGCCAATGGAGGCGGAGCCTGTGAGGCCCCGCTGCTGGGGGGAGGCACAGGGGTCCTGAGTGCTGAGGAGCTGGCTAGGGAACCACTAACCACCCTAGTCTCTGTGTGTGTGCGCACGTAGTCATGCAAGTTGCGCTCCATGTGTGGGCACCCAGAGGCCTCCCTGGCTGTCCCATTTTCAGTCCCCGTGGAAGCCGTCTGTGGAAACTTAGCCGAATGGCCACTCCCTCCAGGAGCAACCTGGGGATGGTCTATACTCTGTTCTAAGGCCACTTGCCCCCATCCCCCACCCCCTGCCATGAACACCTGCCTCAGCTTGCTGTGTGGGTCACCCACACACATCAGGGTGACCCAGGGTGTGTGGGGTGCGCTGGTGAGGAGCAGCTGGCTGCCAACCCTGCTGACGTATTCCATCCTCATCCTCCCAGCTCGTGGCCATTATCTCAGAGGCCTCCAGCTCTGGCGTTTCCCTCCAAGCTGACCGCCGGGTCCAGAACCAGCGACGTCGGGTCCACATGACACTTGAGCTGCCCTGGAGCGCTGACCGCGCCATTCAGCAGTTTGGTCAGGCCAACCCTACCCAGCCCCCCACTACCACTTGCCTTGGCCCTACCCTGCTCTGCCCCGCTGGGCCAGCTGGTCCCTGAGAAGCCTCTCTTATCTCCAGGCCGGACCCACCGGTCCAACCAAGTCTCGGCGCCGGAATACATCTTCCTCATATCCGAGCTGGCTGGGGAGCGCAGGTTCGCCTCCATCGTTGCCAAGCGGCTGGAGAGCCTGGTGAGTGGGGATGGGGAGTGCTGGTCAGGGCAGGGACTAGTGGGGGACACTTCCCAAGGAGGGGAGCAGGGAGGAACGTGGGCAGTGTGTGACAGCACCTCATCCTGGTCAGGGGGCTCTGACTCATGGGGACCGCCGTGCCACCGAGTCTCGTGACCTGAGCAAGTACAACTTTGAGAACAAGGTACCCGGGGAGGGGAGGGGGCCGGGAAAAGAGGGGTCCATGGTGCCAGAGTCCAGCCTCTGACCTAGCCCCTCCACTCAGTACGGCGCCCGGGCCCTCAACTGCGTTCTCACCACCATCCTGAGCCAGACGGAGAGCAAGGTGCCCCTGCCCCAGGGCTACCCTGGAGGAGATACTGCCTTCTTCCGGGGTGAGCTGGGTGCATGGTGTGTGGGAGTCTCCCCAGGGGAACAGTTTGGGGCACCGGATTGGTAGACTGGATTTGTGTCCAAAGATATCTCCAACACACACTCACAAAGGGGACACTGGTGGCAAGGGAACCGCAGGCAGGCTGGGGCAAGGGGCATGTGTGAAAGCCCTCTTCTTCCTGCAGACATGAAGCAGGGCCTGCTGTCAGTCGGTATCGGTGGGCGGGAGTCCAGGTCTGGCTGCCTGGATGTGGAGAAAGGTGAGTCCCCCACACCCCCCAGGTGGGCTGGGTGGAGATGAGCTGGACCTGACACAGCCTGAGGCCCCTTCCACCTCTGCAGACTGCTCCATCACCAAGTTCCTCAACCGCATCCTGGGGCTGGAGGTGCACAAGCAGAATGCGCTGTTTCAGTACTTCTCTGACACGTTCGACCACCTCATCGAGATGGATAAGAAGGAGGGCAAATACGACATGGGCATCCTGGGTGAGTGCTACCAAGGGAGGGGGCGGGGCCTAAAGGAGCTGACAGCTAGCACCCCACAGTCCAGGCCCTCGCCAAGAACACCAAGGGACAGGGGCCTCCTGCCAGTAAAACTTTATTCATAAAATCAGGAGAGGGCAGTCTCCTGACCCCTACTTAATTGTCCCCAGGACTGCTGTGCAGAGAGGGGCACCGAGGGGCATGTTGCGTGTGGTCACACCTAGCATAAGTGACCAGCAGGGAGCTGTTGGCATCCCAGGCCTTCACACTACAGGGGCCACTCACCATCAGGGTGCTGGACAAGGTTGGGGACAAGCTGGCTGTGCTGGGGGAACCCCTCTCTGTGGCACCTCCAAGATCCTGTAGTTGATGGCCCGCCAAAGCCCAGAACCTGGAGCCTACTGAGCTACATCAGTCCCAGAGCACGCTGAGACCCACGGAGCAAGGAACCACACAGCCCCCAAAAGGGACCCTGCTCACCCCAGTGTCCTCTCTCCAGACCTCGCTCCAGGCATCGACGAGATCTACGAGGAGAGCCAGCAAGTATTCCTGGCCCCTGGACACCCACAGGATGGGCAGGTGGTTTTCTACAAGGTTAGTGGACACTGGCCCTCCCCTCTCCTCCTATCCCTGCCTGAGCTGCTGCCCTGCCTAATGCCTGTGTGTGGCGGCAGATCAGCGTGGACCGCGGCCTGAAGTGGGAGGAAGCATACGCCAGGTCGTTGGAGCTGACAGGTCCCCATGACGGCTTCTACCTCTCCTATAAGGTGGGCACCCTGCCTCCAACATGTCCCTGGGGATAGGATCCCAGGTGCAGGAACGGGGAGGGGGCTGGAAGGCAGGGACTGAGCAGAGGGCTGTGGTCAGGTATCTAGTCTCCCAACCTCCTAGCATGTGCGCTGTGGGGACCCCCCACTGGGGAAGTACAGCGGCCTACCCTAGCCTCACGCACCTCCCTACCCAGGTTCGGGGCAACAAGCCGAGCTGCCTCCTGGCGGAACAGAACCACAGCAAGCTCTTCACCCTGTACAAGCCCAACATTGGCCGGCAGAGCCAGCTGGAGACCTTCGACAGCCTGTGTCGGAAGTTCCACCGGGTAGGGGCAGGGACAGGGGAGGAGGCAGGCAGGGAGGCCCCAGGATGTGCATGCCACTGGGCCTATATACCCCTATTATTTTAGCTGCCCCTGCCGCAGTCTCCAGTTGACCCTCCATGCCCAGCTGGCCACTAGGAGGTAGCTGCCAAGTGCAGGATGAGCCAGCCTGAGGCACTGCAGGCCTGTTTCCCCATTTGTGCACTGGAAGCATGGATGGGCTGGTTGTCCAGGCTCTCACTTGGCTGTGTGTCTCTAGGTGACGGCAGAGGAGGCCATGGAGCCCTGGGAGAACAGCTACACCTTGTCGCTGAGGCACTGCAGCCACACCGCTTGGTGAGGGCCGGTGTTGGAGGGAGAAGGGGCGCACTGGACAGCCTTATCCCATCGTCTCTGGGCAGCTCTGTGAGGGATGTGGTCCCCCCATACCACATAGGCGAGGGGGCCCATTTCCCCCGAGGAGGTGGCACCGAAGCCCCGATTTAAGATATGAGCCAAGCTAGGAGGGGGGAAGAGCCCACAGGGATTCCAGCAGAACCTGAGAGGGTGGCAGGGAAGGACTGGGGCAGAGCCTCTAGGCAGAGGTGTAGCTTTGGGGCCTGTGGATGGAGCCTGCGGGGCTTGTGGGGTGGACACTTGGGCTCAGCATGTCTGAACCGCCCCTCTTTCCCACTGTGCAGGAACCGGCACTGCCGGCTGGTGCAGGAGGGCAAGGACTGTGTGCAGGGCCTACGGCTGCGGCACCACTACATGCTGTGTGGGGCACTGCTGCACGTGTGGGGCCGCATTGCCGCTGTCATAGCTGATGTCACTAGTAGCAGCTACCTGCAGATTGTGCGCCTCAAGACCAAGGACAAGAAGAAACAAGTTGGTGAGCGGGCGGGTGGGCCCGCTGGCAGGGGTTGGGGTGCGTGTGCGGAGGTGGGGCCGCACCCGAGGCCCTGACCTGCAATCCCCGTGCCGTCCCACAGGCATCAAGATCCCCGAGGCCTGCGTGCACCGTGTGCTGCAGGAGCTGCAGCTCATGGACGAGGATGTGAAGCGCAAGAATGCCCATGGCCAGGCCTTCCCCGCGGCACCGCCGCCGCCGCCCCTGCGCCCGCTCACGCTGCCCTGTGGCCCTGGCGAGGTCCTGGACCTTACATACAGCCCTCCGGCCCAGGCCTTCCCACCACCCTCGTCCTTCACCTTCCCGCTGCCGGCAGACCCCGCCGCCAGCCTGCTGCTGGGTGCCCCTACTGCCCCCGACCCCGCGGCCCTCGTGCACCACCAGGGCTGCGACATCAACTTCAAGGAGGTGCTAGAGGACATGCTACGTTCCCTCAACACTGTGCCACCCCCTGAGGCGCTGGGGCCGCTGGGCGGTGGTGCAGGGCCCGCAGGTGCGCCAGGGGGCAGCGGGGGCCCTGAGCGGCAGAGTGTCATCCAGTTCAGCCCCCACTTCCCCAACTCCTAGGCCTGGGCAGCGGATGTTCTTCCTGGATGCAACTTATTTATCTGTAGTACGCCACTTCTACATGGACATGGGCAAGGTCTTGTACCCAAGCAGGTGGTGAGCAGGGCTCAGGTCCCTCTGCCGACTACTGAGAGGAAGGGGGGCCCCCCCTCGTCCAGCCCACTGAGGCCTCCACTGCAGTGCCTTTCCCCGCCAGTGCCTGGGCAGACCCTTCAAGATGCTGCCATCCTGTGGGGCCCTCCGAGGCCCTGTCTGGTGGGGCAGCGGATGTGCACGTCCCACTCAGGACCACTCCGGGCCAGGGGCTCAGACAGGGCCTGAGGGTGGGGCCCCAGGGCCACCCTCTGTGCCTCTCTCCTCTGCTGCCCTCCATGCCTGGGCCGGCTTCCCCTCCCCTACCCCCCTCCAGGCCTGGAAAGGCTGGAACCCCTGAAATACACAAAACTGGGTGGCCCCAAGAGCTGGAAACTCAGGAAACCCCCGGTGCTCAGGGCCCTGCCATCTTTGGGGGGCTGTGTGGGGCAGACCCCCATTAATATATGCAATCCCACTTCCCTGCTCTCTGCTCCCTAAATTATTTGCCCAGCTGCCTCTCCCAGGGCTCAGAATCTGCCTGTGGAGCTGGTGGGGTGGGTGGCCCCTGGTTTCTATGTGTATTTATAATTCAAGTGTATATATATGTAAAGAGAACTTTTTTAAATATATGTGCCTTTTCACTACTTCCCAGGCTGTCTGCTCCTCCAGCCCACAAGAACAGTAAGGAGGGTAGGGGAACATGCATGTCCCCTCCAAGAGGAGCATTTAGGAAGTGCCTGGCCCCAGCTTGGGGAATGAGGTCAGGGGGTGGCTGCTGCCTGCAGAGAATGGGAGTGTGGTGTGTGTGAAGTAAGCCCACACCCCCATGAGGCTATTGCTTTCAGTTACAAGGGCTCATCCCACTTAGTGGCCGTGTGGATGATGAGCCAGGTGGGGGAGACATCCCTACCCAGCAGGGCCCTAGTCCACCATGTGGTCCTGGCACCAGCACAGTGGGTCAGCTGCCTCTGGACCAGCCGAGCCAGGCTCATGATGTCTCAGACCATACTGTCTGCCTCCTGCCCACTAGATATGAAACCCAACAGGGACCCCCACAGTGGTGCCGAGACCAGTTCCTCAGACCCCGTGGTGTGTTCCTCTCAGAACTTCGGCAGGGGATGTTGGTTCCCACAAGAATTGGGGGTGGGGAGCAAGAGCTGGGACTGGTTGAGGGCAGGAGATGCCAGGCCCCTCCTGGGAGCCATAGGGAGCACACCACACCTCTGGCTGGAGGGGGGTGCCTCTAGCCAGGGGACAGACAAGTGGGTAGGAGCTACCTCCCTCTACAGGTCCCCACCCCCTGCTGCTGTCCCCTGGAAATACTGGAAGTAGGGTGGCTTAGCCACTCTAGCCATACCACTCCAACCCCGACAGCATTGCTCACTCAAGCTACAGCCTGGCTGTGCCCACAGCCTCTTTGACCCTCCTGATACCAGTCCTGCCAGACCCTTTTGGCTCAGGCCATTCCCCACCCTCCTGGGGACTGTGGACAACAGCCCTGCTCCCACCAAAGGAGTCCCACAAGCAGGCTTGGCTGCCCTGGCTTAGCGTCCCCGCCACAAGGTCAGCCCTGCCTGAGCCTAGAGCAGCTTGGCTGACACTGCGCCCCAGGCAACCCCCGACCCTCCCACCTCGGCCCACTGGGGAAGACCAAGGCCCTATGCAGGCCCTGAATAGCTGGGCTGTTGGGTTAAGGCTCTGGGTTGAGAACAGTGCCAGTTAGGAGGAAGTAGCACCTCCAGGATCAGAACACCTCCAGGACTAACCAGCCTGTGCCCCAAGGGGCTGAGCTACCTAGATTAGGAGCAGGGCTACAGGGTAGGTGCTGCCCTCTGAACCCCAGGACTGCGCAGGGAGGCAGGAGCACCTAGAGGCCAATTTGTATGTTTTATTTCCACAAGGCAGCCAGTGCTGAGCTGTGAGCCAAGCCGAGGGGCCTTCCTCCGGCAGGAATGCACGCCAGGTTCTCGGGTCTGCCCCACCAGCAGGCTGGTTTCCAGGCAGACCGTCATGGGTGCCGGGTGAAGGCTCCGAGGGGCACGGGCAGTGGGCTCAGGTGGCGCGCACACTTGTGGGGTTACAGGTAGCAGGGCAGGTCCTTCTCAATGACCTGTGGGGAAGGGGAGAGTCAGGGATGCCTCTCTTTCTGTGGCCCCACCCAGAGCGGGCTCTCTGCTCAAGCACCTACCAGGGGCTCTTCCATGGGACCATACCGCTTCACCACGCAGCCATTCTTGTCGATGAGGAACTGCCAGAACACGTGGTGTCAGGCAGCACAGGCCACTGTGAGGGGGGTTCCCAGCAGGGGGGCTGGGGACAAGCAAGCAGCCCCCACCTGCTGCCCCATTTGGGCCAGGCCTGGGGCTTTGGGGCACGGCACTGAGGTGGCACCAGAAAGTCCTGGCCTGCCCCTCCCCCCCAAAGCTCCCCCTTACCTTGGTGAAGTTCCACTTGATGGCACTACAAAATAAGGTAAGTCATGATTAACCCCACAGCAACTGTGACCCCCCCTCCCCAGCCCCTGGGGAGCCATCCTGCCCGCCCCTCCCCAACTCACTTTCCCAGCATGCCCCTCCCCTTGGGTTGGACTTTCATCCACTTCCACAGCAGGTGGGCGTCGTCCCCATTCACACAGATCTTGCTGTACATATCGAATTTGACATTATAGCCTGCGGCAAACTCTTTGATCTCAGCATTAGTCCCTGGTTCCTGTGATAAGCAGGGTGCAGGGTAAGTGGGGAGGGGCCTGTACCCCCTTTTGGTCCCAACTTACATGGCCCTCTCCCCATGCCCAAATACAGGAACACCAAGGGACACAGACTGGCCACGCACCTGCCTCCCGAACTGGTTGCAAGGGAAGGCCAGGATCCGTAAACCGCACTCAGCGTATCGGGCGTGCAGGTCGACGAGCTGAGTGTAGTTTACGTCTGTTTTGCCTCATTGGGAGGCCACATTGGTGACGATGCACACAAAGCCCCTGGAGGCGGGATGGGGCAGTAAGGCGAGGTCAGGGCCGCTGACCTTCCCCTTGCCTCCCCCACCAGGCAGGCAGGTACCCACCGGTACTTGTCCAGGTTAACCATGTGCCCGTCGATGTCCTTGGCTGAGAACTCGTGCATGGATCGAGCACAGCGCCAGTCGTCTCGGGACGCGCACTGCAAGGCAAGGGTGCGCTGAGCGGCTGGTGGGGCGAGGAGGCCCCTGACCATTCGTCCAACCTGTGGTCCCCAGGAAGGAGGGGATCCCAAGCTGATCCCTGCCGAGAATGACAGGAACCTGAGGCAAGGAAAAAGTCAGGGTTCCTCCTCAAAGGTGCACGCACCCTGTGCAGCGGGAAACATTTAACCTGAGACACGGAGACCCGGGGAGGGCTGGGGACCCCTCTAGGTGCCCCAGCAGGTGGAGTCGCCGCCGACAAGTGCCCCAGTATGCCGGGGACGCCGCCAGCCGTTGTAGGGGCCCAGAGCGCACCGGCAACCACTGCCCGAGGCCCCGCGCTGTACCTGCCCCAGACTCTCGGGACAGGGCTTCCTCCGCCGGGGGCGCGCCCTCCTGCGCCCGTACGCTGGAGCCTTTCGCCGCCCTGGGGTTCGGCGGCGCTGCCGCCGCCTGCCCGGCAACCGGCACCGCTGCCTGCAGCGACCCGAGGAGCCGGCGGCTGCGCGGCCCATGCCCACTCTTCTTCGGACGCACCTGTGCCCACCGAACGCCTCTACCGGGATACAAAGGGCCTGTAGCCAAGGCAGCCGGTCGCCCATCTGTGACGCCATCGTGCAAGGACCCCAAGGCGCACAGAGCGTGCGAGGAGTGGTGACGCCACGCGGCGCGTGACCCCAGATTTCCAGCCCAAGGGGCACCCCCACTCTCCGGGCCCCAACCACTGCGCCAGTGGCCGAGGGTCCCCCCAATTGCCGGTACGCAGCAGCCTCGGCATAGCCAGGGGGCAGCCCCGAGCGTCGCGACCCCGAACCTTCGGACTCCGCCTCCCGCCCCCCGCCCCCAGCCATGACCTCGGCCCGCGCACTAAACACGGTTCCAACGCCCGCCCCGCATGTGCCCCCCACCCAAGGTCACTGCGGCCCCGCGCACCGCTGGGGAAGGCCGCGCACCGCGGGGGAAGGCCGCGCGCCCGCCCCAACGGCCCACCGGCACGGCCACCGGCCCAACGCTCACCATGGTATTGGCAAGGCCGGTCGCGGCCAGAGCACCACACAACAGCGCCGGCTTTAACAAGCGGCACAGGCGGCTGAAGCTCATCACGACGGCTGGGGCTCCAGGGAAGCAGCGGCTCCTCCCCTCACCGAGCGGACCAATGGACGCGCGCCGGCGCTCCTCGCCTCTCCTCCCTAGGCCACGCCCACCAGTACCCTCATTGGTCAGCCGCTCGGTCCTGTGTCGCATGGCCGCACCAGCCAATGGGAGGCCTGGATGTGGGGCGGGCGGGGGTAGGGCGGGCTGCGGCTTTGTTGTTGTCTGTGACTGCGCATGCTTGCCGCGGGCGAGCGTCTACGTCCAAGCTGACTGCGTAGTTGGTGGGTCTGAGATAATTATCCGGGTGGTTGACTTAGGCGCCGCAGGATGCCCGACAATTTGAGAAACTATTGGAAATTCGCGGGGAGGAGGCGTGATGTCGCAGAAAAATCGCGCCAACTCTTTAAAAACTGGGGGGTTTTGATGTAAATAAAACCAAACTGGGGGCCAGACTCCCGCCCACTCGAGGCTGCAGTGTTGCTGGGAGGCGCCTCAGGCACCTAGCGAGGGCCTGCAAGGGTCACCCAGTGGCGGGAGTGTCCCGGCAGTGTCCGCTGTAGTGCGCCGTGGCCGGGGCATCACCGTTCTTGGGAACTGTCACTTTAACCATTTGTGTAAGTAACATGTGAGCCCAGCTGTGTGTGTTGGGAGGGTCATTAAAACAGTTCTCCCTGGGATTCCACCCCTCGGCAGAACACGCAAGGACGCCCAGGTGTATGCTTACAAGGAAAAACACAAGCCCAGAGCGATATCTCCACTTATAACATCACAGGAGGTACTACGCACACGGCACAGGAGGGACCCTAAATGTGAGCTCACAACTCCTGATTATCAGTCAGGGCTCAGGCTCTTGGCTACTGGGGGTAGAAAAATGACCCAGCCCATTTTTGGGAATTGAGTCATGGAATTCCACAGCAAGCCTGACTGACCCCCACCCCCCACCCCCTCACCCCAGCCATGACAGGACGTTGGCCTTCCGACAGTGGGGTGATTTCAGCTTTTTGTACCCATCAGCATCTTATCCCTTTCTTGGACCCTCCCATGAACATTAATGCAGAGGTAATAAGGCAGGACTGGGGGCTGGGTTCATTTGGGAGAGACGTTGAGCCCTCTCTTCCTTTGCCCCTGACCCAGGCCTGTCAGAGGGAGAAGAAGGGGCTTAGATGGCCAGATTGGGTGGTAAAGGCAATGGAGGGAGGATCCCTGGGGCCGGTTGCTACATTGCCCTTCTTGCACAACCGTCTTCACGTGGCTTCTTCACTCCAGCCTGGCCACCAAAGGCCAGTTCTCAAGTTCTCAGTGTCACCACTTGGCCGGGAGCCCCTATTGTCTCAGCTGAGCCTCTTCACTTCTCAGGAAACCACCCACGCACTTTCAACCCCTAGCAGCACTGGGTGTTGAGCCACACTGGCCAGTCTGTCTAGCCCTTGGAAAGACTCCAGTTTTGTTTCAGTTTTGGTCTGTTATTTGCTCTTACTCATTTCAAGATTGCCAGAAAAACAGCACAGGGCAACTGGCTGGTGAAGTGCACCAAGGGCTAAAGACTGAGCAACCCACTCCACCCCATTCCTGACACTCCAGTACCAGAGGAGTTAAGAGCAGGGGTGGGGAGAATGAGCCTGGGGGAGGGGCAGCTGCCCTTGGAGCAAGTGGCCCGAGGCTCTGGGAGGGGTTTCTCTTTGGAGTTTCACAGCTTTAGCCCAAGGGACCCTTTTTTTTTTTTT